CCCCCCCCCCTTCCGGTGTCAAGCTCCAGACTAAATTAACAACAAATGCACTGTTAAAAAAAGAGGTAAGGGGGAGTAAGAGAATGATAAAAAACGATTTATCTAGAATTGAAAAAGAATGATTTAAAACACTGGGAATACTGATCATAAGATGTAATTGAAAACATCTACGCCTTGATTTACAAAACTTTAACACTTAGTGTTTAATATGAAACTAGATAGTTTTTTAAAGGATTGTTTATTTAGAAACTTCGGCGTTAATTTTCAACTAGCAAGAGGGTGAAGGAAAATGGTAAGAATAAAATAAAAATAAAAATTTAACGTTTTAAGTGTGATTTTCGGATGAAAAACTAAATATAAAACTGGGAGAAAAAAATTTGCGAGAAAAACAAAAGACCTGGTGCATCTAAAACACTCTTGATAAATCTGTATTCGCCTTGAGTTTGGCCGGATGTAAGGTACGGATATACAATATACATCCAAATCTCCTTGTGACCATACAAGGTTATACATATACCTAAAGACCAGACTAGGTTTCTAAATCTTTCTCTCCCTACGCACTCATGCATCCTTCACCAATAAATGGGTGAAATATCTATATCAATATATAAATTTGGCTTGTCTGTCTGTTTGTTTGTCTGTCTGTTTGTATCCAATAAACGTCTAAACGGCTGAACCGATCGGGCCCAAATTTTTTGTGGGACATCTATGGACCCCAGGGAACGTTTATCAATGATCAAAATTTCAAATTTTTGTCTCCATCAAAATTCGATCTTCATTAAATTTTTGAACATTTTGAAAATCCACGAAATTTTTTGTGAAAATCCGCGAATTATTTTTGTTTTGTTTTACGATGTACACAACGAGAACATGTTCACAATTAATTTAGAAGATGGGCGCGAAGCGCCCTCTAAGGCTAGTTTTATATAAATTTAGGGTAGATTAAAAAATGAGAAATCAGTAACGTGATTCCAGTGTTTTCTGGTCACCACTGTGAAATGTGTCCATATATAAAAAGTATTTTTATTTACCCTCGTTGATTGGTTATTTCCTCTAAGCTTGAAACTTG